AGAACAATGTATGGTTTACAATATTTGTTGTATTTGAGGATTCGAAATGCAGAAATATACAAGGGTGACCAGCTCATAATAGCCGGCCTCCAGTTTCTAGTTTGCAGCGATCTATCTACCGCTTCTGGTGGTTGATGTAGCGCAGCGAGATCAGCGCCAGCACGCGGAACAGCACGATGAAGCCGATGAGCACGAAGAAGTAGGGCGTGATCGTGTCGTGCTTCATGCCGAAGTACTCCTCCGTGTACTCCTTGATGGTGATGTGGCCCACGGTCACCGGCGCGTCCGCCATCGGCTGGCAGCCCAGCTTCGAGCCCACGTTCGTGTACGCCTGCGAGGCCTCATCCCACGTCGGCAGGTCGTCGCAGTCCGAGAAGATCAGCGCCACCAGGATCGACACCGGGAACCGCAGCGGCGAGATCTTGTACAGCCATATGTAGCCCGACGGGATCGCGTAGGCCGGCGGACTGAAGCCCATGAACGTCATGAAGACGGCGTTGAACAGCAGGCCGATGATGGCCGCCACCTCCTCCGACGGCATCGCGTACGAGAACATTTGGCCCATGTACACCTGCATGAGCACGCTGAGCGAGATGGCCAGCCAGAAGATGAAGGCCACGCCCACGTCCGTGAAGCCCACCATGGGGTAGAACACCAGCGTGAAGAGCGCGCCCAGCACGAAGCAGTACGGCAGCTCGGCCAGCGTCGAGCCCAGGAAGTACCAGAACGCATTATACGTCTGGCTCGCGCGCTCCCTGTAAAAAGAGGCGCGCTCCGAGGACGTCAGCGGCAGCACGCTCTGGAACGCCGTCATCGACAGGAACAGCGACGCCATGTACACCATGCCCACGCCCGAGTTCAGGCCCGAGTACGACGCGTACTCGGCGTTCACGAACACGATGCCGAACAGCAACGCCAAGAAGATGGCCAGCACCATACGCGTCACGTTGTACGTCGGCGTGCGCCAGTACATCTGGAAGAAGCGGGTCACCACGAACTTCATCTGCGTGGCCGACGTGGCCGCGCGCTTCTTGGCGAACACCATCTCCGGCAGGTTGGGCGACGGCACCGTCACGCCCTCCTTGGCCATCTCGCGGTCGAGCACCTGGCGGTACGAGCTCTTGTTGAAGTTGGCCACGAAGTCGATCTGGTTGGCGGCACTGCTGACACCGGCGCCGATGCACTCCAGCATCCACGTGGCCGGGTTGTAGCCCTTCGGAAGCGGGGCCACGCCGGGAATGCTCTCGAAGTAGTCCACCAGGTTGCGGCAGTTCTTGCCCAGGTTGCCGTAGAACACCGTTTCGCCACCACGCTTCAGCAGAAGCAGACTGTCGAACAGGTAGAACACCTCCGACGAAGGCTGGTGGATGGTACAGATAATAGTGCGGCCCGAGTTGGCCACCTTGCGGACACCGTCCATGATCAGCTTGGCGGAGCGCGCGTCCAGGCCACTCGTCGGCTCGTCCAGGAAAATCACACTCGGCTGGGCAGCAAGCTCCACACCGATCGTCAGTCGCTTCATCTGCTCCACGGAGCTGCCGCGGATGATCTGGTCGGCAATGTCTTCAAGTCCGAGCAACTCAATGCACTCGTTCACCGAGTCGTACTTCTTGGCGGCCGGGATCGATGCATCCTGGCGCAGGAACGAGCTAAAAGTCAAGGCCTCGCGAATGGTGGCCGCCTCCGAGTGCACGTCCATCTGCTCGCAGTAGCCCGTGCAGCGGCGAATGGCGAGGTCGTTGGCCTCGTAGCCGTTCAGCAGGATCTTGCCCGTGATCTTACCGCCGGTCTTGCGGCCAGCGATCACATCCATCAGCGTCGTCTTACCAGCTCCCGAAGAGCCCATGAGCGCGGTGATCGATCCAGGGACAGCAAAACCGTTAATGCCCTTGAGCAGCTCGAGCTCTTGCTTCGGGTTCTTCGGGTCGGGCACGAAATAGTGCAGGTCTTGGAAGGCCACCGTCACCGGGGTGAAGTTCTTCTCGCGCGTGTCCATCTCGACGACGTAGTCGTCCACAGTGTCGGTTCCGTTCTTCGTCTTGGGCGTTTCCAGCATCGTGTACGACTCGTTCTCGATCGTCTTCTCCGACACGTCCACGTTCTCGGGGGCTTCGTAGCGGATGTACTCGAGCGCCAGGTACGACAGGAACATGAACCCCACGTACATGGCCGCCGTGTAGATGACGCCGTACACGATCCACTCCTTCTCCGTGTCCATGCCGAACAGACCCAGGTAGTACTCGCCCATCTTCAGGCCGTACTTGGAGCAGTAGTCCACGCCGTCGTACACGCACACGTCCATCGGGCCCGAGCGGTACTGGTTGATAGCGAGCGCCTTGAGACTCCACGTCATCGGGCTGATCCAATGCGCCCAGATGAGGTAGTCCGGGATCTCGCTCTTGGTCACGATGAAGCCAGCGAAGATGACGAACACCAGCACCGAGACCATACCCAGGGGCGTCGCGATGTCACCGTTGCGGCCGATGGCCGACAGGAAGAAGAACCACATCCCCATGGCCAGGTTCGACAGCAGCAGGATGACCTCGAAGATGATGAACAGCTTGGCTTCCGACACGAACCCGCAGATCCAGTACACGAGCGAGCCGAAGATGAGCGTCTCGACGACGGCCAACGGGATCTGGCTCGCCGACGTGGCCAGCACGTACGACGTGGTGCGGAAGAAGTTGGCGCCGCGCTGCTTGTAGAAGATCTCACGCTCCGCCATGTACGTCGGGATCTGCGACGACTGGCCCATGGACAGGAACATGACCGTGGAGAAGATGACACCCATGACCACCGACACCTGCGTCGGGTCGAAGTCGTAGAAGACCGTGCAGAACAGCAGGCCCATGATGAGGATCATCAGGAGGCGGCCGAAGATGAAGGGCTTGTTGCGGTACGTCACCATGAGCTGGCGCTTGAGCAGCGTCAGCGTGCTCTCCACGAACGACTGGTGGAACGCGGGCGTCGGCTCCATGACCTCGGCCACGTTGCGCAGCAAGTCTGCTTCGTGCGGGGCCTCGAGCTGGTTGAGCATCTCGCGGTGGATGTTCGATCGTCGGAAGGACTCGGCGAACTCGCCGGCGCCGCGGGGCTGCTTCGTGTGGTAGCTCTGCACCTGGTAGCGGTACTGCTCGTTCGTGCCCAGGTCCAGCAGGTAGTCAGCGATGTCGCGCTCGGGCGGGCACGAGAAACCCAGGCTCTCGAAGTAGTTCTCCACGCGACTGCACGGGCCATGGTACATCACCTGGCCCTCGTTCAGGATCATCACGTCGTCGAACAGCGCGAACACCTCGGGCGACGGCTGCAGCAGCGCGACCACCACCGTCTTGCGGAGCGTGTGCGCCACGCTGCGCTGCGTGTTGATGATATCGTACGTGGCCGCAGAGTCAAGACCCGTACTGATCTCGTCCATGAGCGTCACGTACTTGGTGCCGAACTCCATCTCGCCGGTGGTCACGCGCTTGCGCTCACCGCCGGACACACCGCGGGTCATGGCGTCGCCCACGATGGTGTTCTGGCAGTTCTGGAGTCCGAGCTGCTGGATGATGATGTCCGGGTAGTGCGCGAACACGGCCTTGGCCGCCTCGAGAGCCTCCAGGTTCTCCTGCGGAGAGCCCTTGGACAGCATCTCCTCGCCGCGCTTCGACAGCTCGCCGCCGCAGAACTTGTGCGCGAACTCGAGCGTCTCCTTGACGGTCAGCATGGGGAAGTGCTTGTCGCGCTGGTTCACGTAGGCCACGAACTGCGGCAGGCGCTTGACGATCTGCTCGCGCTGCACGTTGTTGAAGGTGATGTCGCCCTCCACCGTGATGTTCTTCTCAATGGGGAAGCGGCCGCTGAGCATCTTGAGCAGCGACGACTTGCCGGAGCCGGGCTGGCCCAGCAGCAGCGTGATCCTGCCGGGCGCGAACATGCCGCTCACGTTCTTGAGGATCTCCTTGCGCAC